GGCATAGTTCCCCCATGCTGGCTGAGGAATTCTGGGAGTTGAAGTCCGCGAGTCATGAAGGGGCCATAGTTCCCTCATGCTGGCTCAGGAATTCTGGGAGTTGAAGTCCATCAGTCATGAAGGGGTCATAGTTCCCCCATGCTAGCTGAGGAATTCTGGGAGTTGAAGTCCACAAGTCATGAAGGCATAGTTCCCCCATGCTAGCTGAGGAATTCTGGGAGTTGAAGTCCACAAGTCATGAAGGCATAGTTCCCCCATGCTAGCTGAGGAATTCTGGGAGTTGAAGTCCACAAGTCATGAAGGCATAGTTCCCCCATGCTGGCTGAGGAATTCTGGGAGTTGAAGTCCGCGAGTCATGAAGGGGCCATAGTTCCCTCATGCTGGCTGAGGAATTCTAGGAGTTGAATTCCACAAGTCCTAAAAGCATCAAGTTTGAAGACCCCTGATTTAGAGACACAACTATAGGATGCCGCGAACAGGGAATTCCTGCAAATCGCCCGTTCATTATTTATTTATTAAATTTATTAAATTTATTTATTAAATTATTATCACGACAGAGGCTTTGTTGGCTTTTTAAAGCAGCCGCTCCTTCGCCAATTTAGTACCTGTAGTCCTTGACTTACGGCCATTCGTTTAGTGACCGTTCCAGGTTACAACCGCACTGGGGAAAAAAGTGACTTAATCGTTTGTCACACTGACGACCGACACAGCATCCCCGTGATCAGAATTCAGTTGCTTGGCAACCGACTCCCATTGAGGACGCTTGCAGTTTCCCAGGCCTTCTCGCAAGCCAAGTCACTGAGGAAACCAAGATTCCCTGAACTGCCGTGCAGCGATTCGCTTAACGACTGCGGCGAGGAAGGTCGTAAAACAGGGCAAAACAAAACGCCTCGCTTAACCCCAGAAACCCTGGGCTCCCTTGCGGCCGTAAATCAAGCACTACCGCTAGAGGCTTTTAAAGCGATGGCACCCCACTTTGGCTCCCTCAAGACTTGTGGACTTCAACTCCCAGAATTCCCCAGCCAGCCATGGCTGGCTGGGGAATTCTGGGAGTTGAAGTCCACAGATCTTAAAAGGGGCCACGGTTGGACTCTCCCGCTTAACCACGCACCCGGTGTGAAGACTGAAGACCCTACAAAGAACAGCTTCAGGTGTGAGATGTTCCTTTTTTGTTTTAGGACATATTTCACACCTGCCTGTGCAAGATAGTTTGCTGGCACAAAGAAGACAGAAGCGCCAAATTATTAGCACAGGAGGTTTGACTTTCTAAATTTCTTTCTGCTGCAAGGACTCTGTGCGCTCTGATTTTTTCCCGGCGTGGCTGCGTGGCTTCTCTCTCAAGTTTTTTGCTCCTTTTTTTTTTTTGTTTTTGGGGAGATATTCAGGAATTTGGGTTGGAATGCTTCTCTCCTTCATGACCCCCCCCTCCCTCTTTGCGAGCTCCCTTCCTTTCGTTAGGCTCACCGTGCCCAAGGCGGTTGTCGCATCACGGGGGTCTTTTGCGGTGGCCGAGTCGTGATGTGAGAACCGGGGTCTCCCAAGCTGCGCACCGAGACTCCCAACGCATGTGCTTGACAAGTGGGTGGGGTGGGGGATATATATATATAATTATTATTATTATTATTATTATTATTTTATTTTTTTAAAAAAAAACACATTTTTCTTTGGGGTAAATGCATGGACTGGGTTGGTAAGTATTTAAGGCTTTCTGTTGTTCGGCGTTCGCCGATCCGTTGCGGGTTATAAAATAGGCGCTTTGGGGCAAACGCCGTGCCGAAGGAATAGATCTGGTCTCTTTAAGCGTTAATGCTGCCCAAATTACCTTTTCGCCTGTGGCACTGGATCTATTCTGCGGCTTGTCCAATTTGCTCCTTCACCTGCCACTGAAGTCTCTGCTGGATGGAAAGAAAGTTCTCTTTAATTGTCTAGTCCTTCTCTCGTTTTTCTTCTTTCTTTCTTCCTTCCTTCCTTCCCTTTCCTTCCCTCCTCTCCTCTCCTCTCCTCTCGTCTCCTCTTCTCTTCTCTTTCTCCCTCCCTTTCTCTTCTCTTCTCTTTCTCCCTGTCCCTCCTCCTCTCTTCTCCTTCTCTTCTTTTCCTCTTCTCTTCTCTTCTCTTCTCTCGTCTCCTCTTTTCTTCTCTTTCTTCCTCCCTGTCCCTCCCTCCCTTCCTTCTCTCCTCTTCTCTTCTCTTCTCTCCTCTTCTCTTTCTCCCTCCCTCCTTCTCTTCTTTTCCTCTTCTCTTCTCTTTCTCCCTCCCTGTCCCTCCCCTCCTTTTCTCCTCCTCTCCTCCTCTTCTCTTTCTCCCTCTCTTCCTTTTCTCCTCTCCTCCTCTCCTCTTCTCTTTCTCCCTCCCTCCCTTTTCTCCTCTCCTCTTCTCTTCTCTCCTTTCTTTTCTCTTCTCTTTCTCCCTCCCTGTCCCTCCCCTCCTTTTCTCCTCCTCTCCTCTTCTCTTCTCTTTCTCCCTCTCTTCCTTTTCTCCTCTCCTCCTCTCCTCTTCTCTTTCTCCCTCCCTCCCTTTTCTCCTCTCCTCTTCTCTTCTCTCCTTTCTTTTCTCTTCTCTTTCTCCCTCCCTGTCCCTCCCCTCCTTTTCTCCTCCTCTCCTCTTCTCTTCTCTTTCTCCCTCCCTTCCTTTTCTCCTCTCCTCTTCTCTCCTCTTCTTTTCTCTTCTCTTTCTCCCTCCCTTTTCTCCTCTCCTCTCCTCTTCTTTTCTCTTCTCTTTCTCCCTCCCTCTCNTCCCTCCCCTCCTTTTCTCCTCCTCTCCTCTTCTCTTCTCTTTCTCCCTCTCTTCCTTTTCTCCTCTCCTCCTCTTCTCTTTCTCCCTCCCTCCCTTTTCTCCTCTCCTCTTCTCTTCTCTCCTTTCTTTTCTCTTCTCTTTCTCCCTCCCTGTCCCTCTCTTCCTTTTCTCCTCCTCTCCTCTTCTCTTTCTCCCTCCCTTCCTTTTCTCCTCTCCTCTTCTCTTCTCTCCTCTTTCTCCCTCCCTTCCTTCTCTTCTTTCTTTTCTCTTCTCTCCCTCCCTATCCCTCCCTCTCTTCTCCTTCCTTCCTTCTTTCATTACTTTTTCTTTTTTCTCTCTTTATTTTTCTCTATTTTTCTTTTCCTTTCTTTATTACTACTTCTTTTCTTCTCTCTCTCTCTCTCTCTCTCCAGGTTGTTTTCGCCAAAGAATTAAAGGCCAAACGGTTCAGTTTTTCCCCTCCTCCTTTTCCAGCCACCAAGGTCGTGGACAAACAGGGCTTTTCCTGTGTTTGACATTGTCTTGTTATTCCGAACGGCAGATAGCAAGAAACTGGGAAAAGCCTTTGTGTAGAGGAGGGCCGGACATTTTTTTTTTTCGTTTCTTTTCTTTTCTTTTTGTAAAAAGGAAAGGAATCAGGTGATTCTGGAAAGGGCCGAGGGATTCTGTCCAAGAATTCCACCCCTTCAGGGGCTTCTCCTTTCCCGTGTCTGTGTTTCAGAGCCGGCAGCTGGAGTCTGAGACGGGCACCACGGAGGAGCACAGCCTGAACAAGGAGGCCAGGAAGTGGGCGACCCGCGTGGCCCGCGAGCACAAGAACATCGTCCACAGTCAGCGGGTGAGTAGACATCGGAATCCAGTGCCGGCGCAGGCAGGGGATGCTGGGATTTGAAGCCCGATTTATACGCAAGGCACCAGGCGGAAGAAATCTGGGTTGGAGAGCCCACAGGACACGGAGGGAAGGAAGTCCACGGGTCTCCCGTCCGTGTCCTGTTGCCTTTGACTAGGAGAGAGTCACAATCAAACCCTGATTAGCCCTCAGTGGCTTCCTTCCCTCCTGATTAGCCATGAAAACTCTGATACTTTGGTCCTTCCTTCCTTCCTTCCTTCCTTCCATCCATCCTTCTCCATGCTCTCTTCTTTTGTTCCTGCCTTCCCGTCCTTTCTTCTCCTTCCTTCCTCCCTTCCTCTCTGTTCCCTTCATTTATTCTTTTCTTCCCTCCCTCTCTCTCTACTCCTTCCTTCCCCACACACTCTTCCTTTCTTCCCTTCCTTTCTTTTCCCCTCCTTCCCTTCATTTATTCCCCTCCACCGCTTTCCCTCCCCTTCCCCTCTTCTCCACACTCTTCCCTTCTTCCCTCCCCTCCTTCCCTTCCTCTACTCCCTTCATTCCTTCCTTCCTCGTTTTTCCTCTCCTCCCTCCCTCCCTTCCTTCCTCCGTCCCTCTCTATTCTTCCCTCCCTCCCTCTCTCCCTTCCTTCCTCCCTCCCTCCCCCTCTCTCCTTTCCTCCCTCCTTCCCTTCCCCCCTCTATTCTTTCCTCCCTCCCTCCTTCCCTCCCTCTCTATTCTTTCCTCCCTCCCTTCCTCTATTCTTTTCTTCCTCCCTCCCTCCTTCCCTCCCTCCCTCCCTCCCTCCCTCTCTATTCTTTCTTCCCTCCCTCCCTCCTTCCTCCCTCCCTCCTCTATCCTTTTCTTCTTCCCTCCTTCCCTCCCTCCCTCCCTCTCTATTCTTTCTTCCCCCCCTTCCTCCCTCCCTCCTCTATCCTTTTCGTCCTCCCTTCTTCCCTTCCTCCCTCCCTCTCTATTCTTTCTTCCCTCCCTCCCCCCTCTATCCTTTCCTCCCTTCCTCCCTCCCTTCCTACCTACCTAGACTGGGTAGACCCAAGTTATCATCCCCTTCCAGCCATGTGGAGGGGGGGGATTTTCCCTGGGAGATCCTGGGCCTGTCCCCCCTCTCTCAGCCCAGCCCAGGCCCACCTCTCTGGGTTCCTCCTGTGGGGAAAAGTAGCAGAGGCCTGCGGCTGTTTCCCGACTCCTGGAGAAAAAGAGGGAAGGCCAGCTCAAGAAGCGAACGACCGGATTTTTTGAATCTCTTCCCATTCCCGTCAAGGGCTTGATTTCTCTTTAAGAAGGAGATATTTGACCGCTTCCTCTTTTGGGCAGACCCTGGAGGAGCTGGAGTGCCACGGCCCGGTGGCCACCGAGCAGAGCCGAGCCGAGCTGGAGCAGAAGATTGACGAAACCCGGGAGAACATCCGCAAAGCCGAGGTAGGAGGAAGGTTGATGCCGTTCTTTTTTTTTTTTTACAGCCGTGCCTTCTTGGTCCCAGACACTCTTCCCTCTTCCCTTTTGCCTCCCCTGCTCTCCCACCGTTCCCGTTTTTTTTTTTTACTTTGCATTTTATATTTTGGTCAACGAATAAAAGAATTTGGAGCCTTAAAAAAAAAAGAGAGAGCACAAACAACAGGAGACCACCTCCCTTTGTGCTATCTTCTATCCTCGGCCGTTTCTGCTGGACAGTTGTTGTTTTTTTTTATTTGCACTTCCTTTTTTGCGTTCCTGTCATCCCAAGGATGTTTAGCCTTCCGTTGTAAGGATTTATTGCAGCATTGCTCGATTTCCCCCCCCCAGCTGGCAGGATTCTGGGAGTTGAAGTCCACCCATCTTGAAAGTCACTAAAAGGTTGAGAAACGGTGATTTATGGTCAGGGTTTGCTTTCCCCCCTCTGGGAGGCACAGCAAATAAAGCAATAAAATTGGGCTTAGCTCTCCGGGGGAGTTGAAAACACAATTTCTCAGATAAAAATGTGTGATCTCCAAAGGCTCCCTGGGAGAATATTTATAGGAAACTGAGATGTCGCATTTGTGACAGGCCAGCAGTTTCTCTCTCTCCTCTCCTCCCTCCCTCTCTCTCTCTCTCTCTTTCTCCTCTCTTTCTCTCTTCTCTCTTTCTTCTCTTTTAATCCTCTCTTGCTCTTTCACCGTTTCACTTTCTCTGTCTCTGTCTGCCTTCTCACTTTCTCTTCTTTTTCTCTCTCTCTCTCCTCTTTCCCCTTTCTCTTTCTTCTTTTTCTCTTCTCTCTCTCTCTCTCCTCTTTCTCCTTTCTCTCTTTCTCTCTTTTTTTCTCCTCTCCCTTCTCTCTTCTCTTCCTCTCTTCTCTCTTTCTCTTTCTTTCACTTTCTCTGTCTCCACTCTTTCCCTCTTCTCTTTTTTCTCTCTCCTCTTTTTCTCTTTCTCTCCTCTTTCTCCCTTCTCTTCTTCTCCCTCTCTCTCTCCTTTCTTTCTTTCTTTCTCCCTCTCCCTCTCCCTCTCTCTTTCTCCTCTCTTTCTCTCTTCTCTCTTTCTTCTCTTTTAATCCTCTCTTTCTCTTTCACTGTTTCTCTGTCTCTGTCTGCCTTCTTTCTTTCTCTCTTCTTTTTCTCTTCTCTCTCTCTCCTCTTTCTCCCTTCTCTCTTTCTCTCTCTCTTTTTCTCTTCTCTCTTTCTCTCCTCTCCCTTCTCTTCCTCTCTTCTCTCTTTCTCTTTCTCTCTTTCTCTTTCTCTGTCTCTGCTCTTTCCCTCTTCTCTTTTTTCTCTCTTTTCTCTCTCCTCTTTCTCCCTTCTCTTCTCCCTCTCTTTCTCTCCCTCCCTTTCTTTCTCCCTCCTCTCTCTCTCTCTCTCTCTCTCTCTCTCTCTCTCTCTCTCTCTCTTTCTTTCTTTTTCTCTGGGTATTTTCTGGATCACATTCTCTTCTTTGATAATTGTGGCTGGGTCTCTGACCCCAGGCATTCCCAACAAAATGCAGCTACCTAAGGCCACATTTGGCTGCCCTCTATAGCTGCCAGCTATGTTTCGCACGCCAAACGTTTCGCTTGAGCTTTCATGTAGAGAAAGACGGATTGTAGAAGCGCAATTTCTTGCAGGTAGATTAGCAGCTCTGTTGCCCACGCTGGCTGGGGACTTCTGGGAGTTGAAGTCCGCCCATCTTAAAGTTGCCAGACCTTAGAAGTCCTGGTGCAAAGTAGGTGTTCTCCTCGGCGGCCCTTCATTTAGTGACCGTTCAAAGTTACAACAGCACTGAAAAATGACCGTTTTTCACACCTAACGACCAGCATTCCCAGGGTAACGGGATCAAAATTCAGCTGCTTGTCAACTGACTCGTATTTGTGTCGGTCGCACAGCGTCCCGGGGGTGTCACATGATCCCCTTTTGCGACCTTCTGACAAGCAAGTCAGTGGGGGAAGCCAGATTCACAATGGCCGTGCTACTTAATTTAACAACTGGCAAGCGATTCGCTTAAGAACTGGGGCCAGAAAGGTGGTAAAATGGGGCAAAACCCGCTTAACATCTGTCCTCGTTCAGCAAGGGAAGTTTTGCGCTGCCTTGCGGTCGTAAGCCGAGGACTTACCTGTACCCAACAAGGCCCCTATCCACCCGCACACGAGCCACCTTCTTCCGGAATGTGCTTATAATACACTAGAGCAGGGCTTTTCAACCAGTGGTAGGGGTACCACCTGTGGTACATTGGCACCTGGCAGGGGGTACGCGGCCATCCTAGAAAAGTGGTAGCAGGGGAGGGGAATGAGCTGAACCGGTGGTAGCACCGCACAAGCCTGAACGAGAGACGGCTGGAGCTGCAGGGCTGTCAGGGCTCAGCGGAAGCGCCAGGATCAGTGCCAGGATCCAGCTGGAGCTCGGTGCTGATCCTGGCGCTTCTGCTCAGCCCTGAAGAAGTGCCGATCAGCTGGAATGTTGCAGCATCTCCAGGGTCTTGTGATTTACATTCAGATGCTTGGCAACTGATTCATATTTATGACGGTCACAGTGTCCCAGGGTCATGTGAAGTGACCAAAACCTGCTGCAACCGCCCAGCAGACGGGGGGAATAAAAACCAAACACCCCCCCACCCCACCCCCACTGCCAATCCTCAACAGAAATGCTCACAACAATGAAAACCTCGGACAGGAGGAAGAGCGCGGCCGGGCGAGCAGGCAGGTGTCTTGCTCGGCTGTGGCTTGGGGGACACTTTTTTCAGTGCCATTGTAACTTCGAAGAGTCACTAAGCGAACTGTTGTAAGTCGAGGACTACCTGTACTTTATCCCTTTTTTCCTTTTTTTTTTTTTTTTTGTCAAGTTTTTGACACCTTGCTAGGCGACTGGTGGTACTCGGATGTTGCCATATCCTAAAAGTGGCACAATGGGTGAAAAGGTCGAAAAACCCTGGTTTAGGGAGCCTAAATCTAATCCCGTCTATATTTTTGGGAGAAAATAACGAACTCGACGCGAAGACACCATTTTATTTTGAAAACGAACAAAAGTCCTGCAGAAAAACCCTGCCAGGCAAGACAGCAGGAACGTAACACCGCTTTAAATTTACGCCCTGTTTGTTCCAGCAGTTGATCCCCTCAACTGGTGTTTTCAATCGCACCGGCCCTAGTGGGTTGCACATCCATAGTAGTGTGTTAATAAATACATCCACCGTTTACACCCCTTGGTGTTTGTCCTCATGTTAGGGAAATAATTTGGCTCCCACAGATGGCTCTTGCCTACTTAATCAAGGCTAATTCCTCCACAAATGACCTGCCCAGCTGACATTATTAGCACATTAAAAAAAAAGAGAGAGAGAATCGCCAGCCTCCATCACGCAATTTGTTGGTGCTTTTTTTATCGCCTACCTTTGCCGGTTGTGGGTTTTTAAAAAGCAGAGGCCCCTTGTCTGAAATTTGGATAAAAATACTTTGCTGAATTGTGGGATTTCTTGGTGTTACCCAGAAGTGAGGTTTTGGGATGGGATGGGATGGGATGGGATAGAAAAGAAAAGAAAAGAAAAGAATAGAATAGAATAGAATAGAATAGAATAGAATAGAATAGAATAGAATAGAATAGAATAGAATAGAATAGAATAGAATATATGGAATGGAATGCAATGGAATGGAATGGAATTACAGAATATTGCCTGGCTGAGGAATTCTGGGAGTTGAAGTCCACAAGTCATAAAAGGGCCAAGTTTGAAGACCCCTGACGTTAACAGTATAGATAATCCTTGACTTATGACTGTTAACAGTACAGATACGTACCATTGTAACTGAGCTCACAATTATGCTTGTAAGGCGTGTTAAGTTGGGGGATTTGGGGCTAATTACCAGGAGACGGTGAGTTCTAGTTCCGCCTTAGCCATGAAAGCTGGCTAGGTCAAGCCACCTCACAGGCTTGTTGTTGTGGGGAAAAGAGGAAGAGGAAGGTGTGTTGGATATGTTTGCAGCCTTAAGTTGTTTGTAAAAATCATACAGGCAGGATACAAACAAACAAATATAATGCTGCCCATTTGCCGTATCTAAAATCTCCTTCCAGATTTATTTGACTAAACCAGGGGTAGACAACCTTGGCTCTTTTATGACTTGCGGACTTCAACTCCCAGAATTCCTGAGCCAGCCATGCTGAGGGGAAAGGCAGAGGTTTCCATGCTGGCTCAGGAATTCTGGGAGTTGAAGTCCACCAGTCATGAAGGGGCCATAGTTCCCCCATGCTGGCTCAGGAATTCTGGGAATTGAAGTCCACGAGTCATGAAGGGGCCATAGTTCCCCCACGCTGGCTGAGGAATTCTGGGAGTTGAAGTCCGCAAGTCATGAAGGGGCCATAGTTCCCCCATGCTGGCTCAGGAATTCTGGGAATTGAAGTCCACGAGTCATGAAGGGGCCATAGTTCCCCCACGCTGGCTGAGGAATTCTGGGAGTTGAAGTCCCCGAGTCATGAAGGGGCCANCCACCAGTCATGAAGGGGCCATGATTCCCTCATGCTGGCTCAGGAATTCTGGGAGTTGAAGTCCATGAGTCATGAAGGGGCCATGATTCCCTCATGCTGGCTCAGGAATTCTGGGAGTTGAAGTCCATGAGTCATGAAGGGGCCATAGTTCCCCCATGCTGGCTGAGGAATTCTGGGAGTTGAAGTCCACCAGTCATGAAGGGGCCATAGTTCCCTCATGCTGGCTCAGGAATTCTGGGAGTTGAAGTCCATGAGTCATGAAGGGGCCATGATTCCCTCATGCTGGCTCAGGAATTCTGGGAGTTGAAGTCCACCAGTCATGAAGGGGCCATAGTTCCCCCATGCTGGCTCAGGAATTCTGGGAGCTGAAGTCCACGAGTCATAAAAGAGCCAAGGTTGCCTACTCTTGGACTAAACTATTCCTTCAGCAATTATAGTTTGGCTGGGGATAATGGGAAGTGTAATCAGTAGTGTTGCAAATTGTGAAGATCGGTTGATGGATAAACCTGCAGCTTTTAGGGTAGTGCACAGGTCCCTATTTGCACCCAGTTCATGCTAGCGCCTGTTAGTTTTCTCTTCTCCGCTCGGTCCTCTGTGGGTTTTTTTTTCCTAAGCTTTGAGGGCCCTTTTTTTTTTCCCTTCGTTGTCACCTCTCCGATCTGGTTTTGGAATAACTCACTCCTACGTGGGCAAAGATCCTACTTATTCTGCCCTCCTTGGAAAAGTGGCCCCTGTGGGAAAGGCCACCAACGGGAGATCCCAAGTCACGTATCCGATGCTTCAGCGATAAGCAATATTGAAAAATTAGGTCTGGGGCCAAAGTTATATTTTCTGCTCTTTCCCAGGAAAACTTCCTCTGAACTTTACTCTCCGTCCTCCCATGCACTCCCCCCTTGATCTAAAAGTAACCTAGTTTGCGTAGGGCAGTTCTCAGTTCCTGCATAAAATATGTGCTGGGCGTTGACCAAGCTGTGGAATCTTGGTTTCTTAGTTCCAGGGCTAACTTTTGGCATGACAGGTTCCCATAGAAAATGTGGGCAAAAATTTTTTTGTTGTTAGTTGCGAAGTCGTGTCCGACCCATCGCGTCCCCATGGACAACGTTCCTCCAGGCCTTCCTGTCCTCTACCATCTTCTGGAGTCCATTGAAGCTCACACCTATTGCTTCAGGGACTCCATCCAGCCCCCTTATTCTCTGTCGTCCCCTTCTTCTCTTGCCCTCCATCTTTCCCAGCATCAGGCTCTTCTCCAGTGAGTCCTTCCTTCTCCTTAGGTGGCCAAAGTCCTTGAGTTTCCACTTCAGGATCTGGCCTTCTAAAGAGCAGTCGGGGTTGATCTCCTCCAGGACTGACCGGTTGGATCGCCTTGCAGTCCAGGCGACTCGCAGGAGTCTTCTCCAGCACCAGAGTCCAAAGGCCTCAATTCTTTGTCGCTCAGCCTTTCTTATGGTCCAACTTTCACAGCCATACGTTGCAACTGGGAAAACCATGGCCTTGACTATACGCACTTTTGTTGGCAGGGTGACGTCTCTGCTTTTTAGTATGCTGTCTAGATTTGCCACGGCTTCCCTCCCCAGGAAAATTACGAAATTACAAAGGCATTTTTGCACATAGCTCCGGTCTCATTCTTACTTGCTTCCAGAACAGAAACAGCCTTGTTCAAAAAGCTGAGCGTTGTCCTTTGATTTTTCTTGACTTCTGATAACATTGTTGGCAAAATCTACACGGATTGAGGGTGGGGGGGGGTCCTGCTCCTGTGTGCAGGTCTGATCATAGAGAAGGGCTATTAGGTGACAGCCAAAGGCATATATTCAACCCAGAAGCCTGGCGTTCAGAGAGATCAGCCATCGACAGACCCATAGAGATAAACAACAACTACATACCAATCAAACGAGACCATCTAACGGTAAATAAGGACAGCCTCTCCTAGCCAGCCATCAGAGCACCCAGCTCAGCAGAGGTTAACATCAAGGTTAATACTATACCAACATCAAGCAGTAAACAATGGCCCAACCAGGGAACTACCAACTCAGATAGTCTGAGTAAACAACAGCCTAAGCCAGTGATGGCAAACCTTTTAGAGACCAAGTGCCCAAACTGCAATCGAAACCCCATTTATGCATCGTCGGGTGCCAGATGGGTGTGGCCCATTGGGTGGGCGTGGCTGCGGTGGTAACGGCAGACGGTGGGACTAAAAAGTTCAATCAATCAATTCCAACTTTGCAAGATCTTTTTTTTCCCGCAAGAAGTTGAAATTGATTGATTGAACCTTTTTTTTTTTGCACATGGCGGTGGAGACCTAAAGTGAAAAGGTTTTATAAAACCCAGCTGAAGGCCTAGGACTGGGGCAATGGCGCGAGTGCCCACAGAGAGGGCTCTGAGTGCTGCCTCTGGTACCCGTGCCCTAGGTTCACCACCACTGGCCTAAGCAAGGAATCACCAAAACTTTCTCACCAACATTGACAGCCATTAATATATAAACAGGGAGCAAAAAAAACCCCTCCCTTCTAACACTGATGATGTTATCTGTGCTGGGTAATGAAACGTCTGCAAGAAAACCACCAAGGACTCCACAGCTTTCCTCCTCCTCCTCCTCCTCCTCCTCCTCCTCCTCCTCCTCGCAAACCCCCCTCCCTTCTAGCACTGCTGATGTTACCTTGCTAGGTAATGAAACCTCTGCAAGAAAACCACCAAGGTCAGAGAGCACCAAAGTCTCCATAGTCGTTCTCCTCCTCCTCCTCTTCCTGCTCCTCCTCGCAAACCCCCTCCCTTCTAGCACTGATGATGTTACCTAGCTGGGTAATGAAACATCTGCAAGGAAACCCCCAAGCTCAGAGAGCACCAAGGACCTCATATTCATCCGTGACACAGACCAGCGATTTAGTATGTCATGGGGGTAATGGCCAGCCACCTGACCCAAACATTGATCAGACAGAAGCCCCACGGGGGAAGTTAGGAGAATTGCCGGTTCTTCTAATGGAGCCCTCGGAGTCCAGGAACAAGGAATAACTCAAAAATACTGCAAGGCAGGGTTGAGATAAATGCTCTTTTTGAATCTTGTAAGCAGGGAGCAACTAAGAGGCAGCGAGGAGGAAGAAGATCAAAGGGCCGAGGAAGGCTGTCTTTAAGATGCTTGCTGATAAAAGGGTCGATATCCAGTTTCCAAGATGATGTAACCTCAGCCCCATTTTCTTGCAATCGATCTGATGGATGAGAGTCTGCCAGCATCCATAGCTGTCTTGACAGCAAGCCCTGTTCGAAATCTTGCCAAACTAAAGCAACTGAAAATAGACTCTGAGAATCACTAAGGATGAGAGCCTTCTAATTCTCTTTCTCCCAACCAAAGGATCTAAGCCAGGGGTAGTCAACCTTGGCTCTTTTATGACTCGTGGACTTCAACTCCCAGAATTCCTGAGCCAGCTAAGCTGGCTCAGGAATTCTGGGAGTTGAAGTCCACGAGTCATAAAAGAGCCAAGGTTGACTACCCCTGATCTAAGCTTTGCCACCTTTTGGCCGTTTGAAACGCAGCCTCTCCTGGCCTGGGAATCCAGACCGCGTTCCACCACATCCCTACAGGTCCATATTCTCAAGACTTTTATCTACTATCTGAGAGACAGATACAGACAATTCAATGGTCAAAAAAGTAAGGTTCTACATGTAGGCAAGAAAAACCAAATGTACAGGTATAGTATAGGGGGTACCTGGCTCAATAGTAGTAACTGTGAGAGGGACCTCGGAGTCCTAGTAGACAATCACTTAAATAGGAGCCAGCCATGTGCTGCAGCTGCCAAAAAAGCCAACACAGTGCTAGGCTGCATCAACAGAGGGATAGAATAAGATCACGTGAAGTGTTAATACCACTTTACAAGGCCTTGGTAAGGTCACACTTGGAATACGGCATCCAGTTTTGGTCACCACGATGTAAAAAAGATGCTGAGACTCTAGAAAGAGTGCAGAGAAGAGCAACAAAGATGATTAGGGGACTGGAGGCTAAAGCATATAAGGAAAGGCTGCTGGAATTGGGTATGTCTAGTTGAATTGGGTATGTCTAGTTGAAACCAGGAGAGGTTGAGTTCTAGTACCACTTAGGCACAAAAGCTGGCTGGGTGATGTTGGCCAGTCACAAAGCAGATTGTGGTTTCTAATCCCGCCTTAGCCATGAAAACCAGCTGGTTGACTTGGGCCAATCACCATGAGACAATGAGTTCTAGTCCCGCCTTAGGCACGAAAACTGGCTGGGTGACTTTGAGCCAATCACCAGGAGGCGGTGAGTTCTAGTCCCGCCTTAGGCACGAAAACCGGCTGGGTGACTTTGGGCCAATCACCAGGAGAAAATGAGTTCTAGTCCCGCCTTAGGCACGAAAACCGGCTGAGTGACTTTGAGCCAATCACCAGGAGGCAATGAGTTCTAGTCCCGCCTTAGGCACGAAAACCGGCTGGGTGACTTTGGGCCAATCCCCAGGAGACGGTGAGTTCGAATCCTGCTTTAGGGATGAAAGCCAACTAGAGGTTTTTGGGCCAGTCCCTCTCTCCCGGCCTAACCCACCTCGCTAGGTTGTTGTGGGGAAAAGAAGAGGAAGAAGGAGTATTAGGTATGCTTGCTGCCGTTGAGTTATTCATAAGCAAGAATAAATGCAGAATAAAAATCAATCTCTTCCTCTCTGTCTCTCTTTCTCCTCTTAGATCATCAAGTTGAAAGCCGAAGCTCGCCTGGACCTCCTGAAGCAGATTGGCGTTTCGGTGGACACTTGGCTGAAAAGTGCAATGAATCAAGTGATGGAGGAACTGGAGAACGAGCGGTGGGCCAGCCTGCCAGCCATGGCCAGCAACGGCTCTTCACACGTGGTAGGGCTGGGAGTCTCTAACCGTCCCCTTTTCGGTCCCCAAAGCACAGTCCTCCTCCTCCTCCTCCCCCCTCCTCCCTTCTAGCCCTGATGATGTTCCCTAGTTGGGTCATGAAATGTCTGCAAGAAAACCACCCAACTCAGAGAGCACCAAGGACCCCACAGTCCGTCCGTCCTTCCTTCCTTCCTTCCTTCCTTCCTTCCTTCCTTCCTTTCAGCACTGATGATGTTACCTAGTTGGGTCATGAAATGTCTGCAAGAAAACCACCCAACTCAGAGAGCACCAAGGATCCCACAGTCCTTCCTTCCTTCCTTCCTTCCTTCCTTCCTTCCTTCCTTCCTTCCTTCCTTCCTTCCTTCCTTCCTTCCTTCCTTCCATCCTTCCTTCCTTCCTCCTTCCTTCCTTCCTTCCTTCCTTCCAGCACTGATGATGTTACCTAGTTGGGTCATGAAATGTCTGCAAGAAAACCATCCAACTCA